TTTGGACTCTGTGCTGTTCCAAACAGGTTTCCTAAATAAGGCTGCAGGTACCAGGTTTCAAGCTTTCTGTGAACAAAAGATACTGTTGTGATGCAGCACAATTGCCTTCTCTGTTTTTTGTTTTGGTGTTCTATCTTTCCTGTGGTTTTTGGCAGACTTGTTTTCTGCTAAATTTCTCTTCTCTTTTTTCAGCTTATAAGAAGTAATTATCCTGCCATTGCAGGATGGTCAAAGTGAGCTAAGTTTCCTTAATAAGGTGGTGTCAGTGGAAGCGTTGATTGTTCCAGCTGAGCATCTGGCACGTGCTTCAGTAGGATTTTTGGTGAGGGTGTCAGATAAACTCCACAGGTGAGAATGGAGAACAGAATCTGGATTGCTACCAGAGGGAAGAGAGCTTTGAAAGCTGCCAACATGGAAAGTCTCAAAGGGAGGATCTGTGACTTGGGTGCATAATTTATGACTCTGGTCCCCTACCCCAAGCCTTTTAGGACGAACAAGCATGCCTTTGAAACGCTACCTTTTGAAGAAGCTCCCTGTATTGTTTTCCATTTTTTATGAGAGATCTATCCTCCAGATTGCCCCTGGAATGAATGCATAGCAATGTTCACAAAGCCATCCAATCTGTGCAGTGTCTTGTCTCGTGTACATGCGGGAATTCTCTAGAGCACTTTTCCCAGGATCAGCTCTTTGTCTGACATGCGGGTGTATTTTGGGGGCACCATGATAGTGGTGATAGCTTGCAGAGAACAAGGAATGTACTACCTAACAAAATTACCTATTTTCAAAGTCAAAGGATCCCCCGCTCCTAATAAATTGGTTTATGTACAGGGGAACTCCATCTTTCCTTGCTATTACAAATTCAGGGTAAATTCTAAGTGGAAAATAAAAAAAGGAAGAAAAACTTTTAATAGATGATAGTTGTAGTTTTTCTTCCTATGGCAGTAGCTCTTTTTTCTTCAGCCATTGTTGGAGGAAAAAGAATCAGAAAAGTATTATCACGAACATTAGTGCTCAAAAGCTGGCTCTTCTTTTTTACAGGACAGGGTATAGAACTTTTCTTTTTAAATTTATCAAGAGACATGTTGTAAGGAATAATCTGTTGATAGACCTCGGTCTATACAGTTGGAAGGAGTAAACTAAGAAAGATCAGCAAAATGAGACAAGACGTGTGCCACAAGTCTGCAATTGATGGCTTGAAATGTAGGTATGTTTCAAGCTTAGGGAGATTTATTCCAAACACTGGAGAACAGAAAAATCATAGAAAGTAAGAAAATCATGTTGCGATGAATATTTATGGGACTTTTCCCAAGTTCCACACATTTATTGAGCTATGAAGGGCTTCCATTTGCATGGATTTAATGACATGGGGAATATCTTTGGATCTTGTGAACAATGATTATTTAAGCCCTATAAATTCATAGTCCTGTGAAAGTAGAGGTAGTTGTCGACTTACCAACAGTTCATTTAGTGAACTGAATTATGAGTTTTTCACACTTATGACTGTTGCAGCATCCCATGGTCACATGATCAAAATTCAGACACTTGGCAACTGGCTCATATTTATGACGGTTGTAGTGTCATACCATAGAAATTTTGGACTCAATTGTGATCATTAGTTGAAGATTACCCGTATAATGTCCAAGAGTTTTTTTTTAACATGAACTAATTATTCACTGGATTAAAGACATGATGTTACTTGCATTTTATGAACAAGTTGCTTAAAGAAATAAATTATTTATGGATAATGATAATATATGATGATTTTTATTGAAATTGGGGTAAAGTTAAATTCATATATGCATAAATGAAAGTGTCTGACTCTCATACATTTATGGATGTATGAATGTATGTATACACACACACACACACACACACACACACACACACGATCTGTTTAGACCATATGTCTTGGAAGGGACAGAATTACGAATGGAATCAAGAATAGCTCTATCATTCTTCTGGGCTATTTGTTATTTACTGAATTTCCAGGTGGTATTGCTCTAGTTTGTCACAGGTGCTAGGAAAGTTCATTAAACATTTCATGCAAGTATTATTAATTTGAATAATGCTTACCACCCTCCAAAGTGGCTTGAACAATGTAGTTTCCTTGCTGAGGTGTCATATCCCCATGAACATTTTAAGGAGGAAAGCTATATTAGCTTCTATATGAGACACAAAAAAAGCTGATACTTTCAGCACTGTATACAAGTAGTTCTTGACTTACAACCATAACTGAGGCCATAATTTCTCTTGTTCAGCAAGACAGTTAATAGGTTTTGCCCCTTTTTATGTCTTTTCTTGCCACAGATGTGAAGTTAATTACTACAGTTAAATTAGTAACATGGTTGATAAGTGATTTTGGCTTCCCCCATTATCTTTGCTTGTTAGAAGGTTGCAAAAGGTGATTACATGATCCAGGACACTGCAACTGCCATAAATATGAGTCGGGCCAAGAGTCCAAATTTTGATTATGTGACCACGATCTATTTGTATGTGTAGACTTTTTTCCTCGAGTCAGTGCTGTGGAGAGATTGCTGCCATTTGAGAGATTATCTGAAGAGTGGAACTTCATCACTGAGCACTCTGGTTTTAATAGTTCTTAACCAGGGTTATGGTAATGAGGCATTATAGAAGAGAACTATTATGTAAGGAATCACTACTGGTTTATAATAGGGGGAAGATGCTACTTACATAGATTAGGGATTATTTATACATAAGGGATGTTTTGAGCACTATCCTGTTTAAAACCATCTTCCGAGAGAGAGCACTCTGTGTTTTTCTTTCCCGAATTTTGTTTGATATCTTCAAGTTCAGTATAGGATATTCCTGTGATTATGATTAATTGGGGCATTAATATTTCTGCTTTATATAACTGGATGTTGTCAGTCTATTGTCCTTGCTAAGTAATTCATTAAAAACAGTATCTGAGGAATGCTGTTCTTGTATTTCATATCTCTTTTTTTCATGAGACATAGCAGTTAAGCTAGCTCCTTAGTCATCTGCAGTTTTTCTTAACCTGGTGCTCATCCAGTAGTGATATGATCCCCAGAATTTATGGGCAACAACTTATCCAAGTTAGGGGAAAATGCTGTAATGTTTTTAACTAATCTGCTTTTGTCCAACTCTTTTATTAGAATAGTGCTGTGGGACATCATTAAAAATGCAAGTAGATATTGTTGGGACCAATTGTTTATCGAAGAATTTCCTCTGCATTTTGCATAAATATATTCAATAAAGCTGATTGGTAATAACAGCTTCCTAAAACTTTCTACCGTAGTATTCTACTGTAATATTTAAAGGCATGAAACTGAGTGCTTCACTTTATTTCATATATATTTTTCATACCTTTCTGTCAATGCTGCAGGAATTTTCGAAGAGGGCTGCTGCCATTTTTAAGATCTGCTGGGTTTGTTCTCTTTCCTCTTCCCTTAGTTTTTTCATCAGTACTGGGAGATGAATTGTTCATTATTTTCATTCAAAAGGGTAGGTTTTACAAATACCTTTCTCCTCAGTCTTGATATTTCCATCTTTATATCCTTGTACATGATTAATAGTGTTAGAAAAGCTGGTTTGGGTTGCTTGTGACTTCGCCATTATGTGTGAACGAAGCTACTGTGGTTTACACACTGTAAGCTTTTTACTGTGACATGTAAAAATATAGTCTGCAAACCTTGTGTAAAAGGGGGCCTTTATGAAAGTCTGCATTCTGGGGGAAAAAAATCTCCTGCCTTAAGAATCCAACTTATAGTAGAAAAAAGTGCTCTGTTTGAATGAGTTAAAAGCCGAATGTGTTAAAATGTAGTTTCACAATTGCACAGTCACAGAATCTCCTATTCCCACAAAACCTTATATAAATGATTCCAGGCAGGAATTGCTACTTCTATTTAGCAATATCTTTATTATAATTATAATACAGGGAGGGGAAAAAGAATCCCTATTCTCAACACGTTGCCTTTCCGATCCTATCTATTACTCCCCAATGGCTGTTCCATTTAAATAGCATACCAACTAAGCACATACATTATGTTTTTTTCAGAACTTTAAAGTAATATGGGGCCAACTTGTAACTTTATAATGTTTGGATGGGAACAGATCTGAGACTATTGCAAGCTAATTCTGCTGACTGCCAGCAGTTCGATTCTCATGGCTCAAGGTTGACTCAGCCTTCCATCCTTCTGAGATTGGAAGCTGACTCTGTAAACTGCTTAGAGTGTGCTGTAAAACACTATGAAGTGGTATATAAGTCTTATTGCTATTTTATATATTATTTTTGCACTATCATTATCACATTAGGCTTTCTGCTCGGGGTGGGTCTTTTTCTCGCTGTAAAAAACTGATAGACAATTTTTATCTTAAAATATTTATATTTTAGAATAAAAACATAATTAAGTAAAAGTTTTCACATACCTCCAGATTTCTTGCATAAAATGTTAGTCATGCTGTTAGCCATAAAATGTTGAGTACCAAATACTCAACACTGAATACTGGTTAAATCTAAAAAAACTTTTTAAGACAAGTTAGATGCAATAAATTGACACAGGCATCCTCATTTGGTGCCCCTCGGGTATGCAGAAATGTAAAGCAAAGTTTTGAATGTATGTGTGTCTGTCAGTGTACATCCATAACTATATGGTTAAATGTTAATGAACAAGCATCAGTCTGTCTAATGTGTGTTATGAAAGATATTTAAAAGAGCCCTGGTAACCCTGGTTAGAATGCAGTATTGCAGGCTAACTCTGCCCACAGCCTGGAGCTCAATCCTGATGGGCTTGTAGTTGACCCAGCCTTCCGAGGTTGTAAAACTCCAGGACCCAGATTGTTGAGGACAATATGATGACATTGTAAACAGCTTAGAGAGTGCGGTAAAACTTTATAGAACAGTATATAAGTGCAATTGCTATTTCTATGTCCTCATTCAACTAAATGACAAGATAAATTTACAGCAGATGATAAACAAAAGAGCTGGTTCTCCCTGACTTTATCTTCCTTTTCATTTATAGGAAGCTATCAAAGAAAAATGCCAACAAAACCACACACGGCTGGAACGTAATCATGTGTACAGAGAAAGTCCCTTGAATTGTCTGAAAGGTTCCAAATGTTGTCTGAAATGCTAAGGAGGAAACTTCGTCACTGTGGTATCCTACGGTTTAAGCCTCTTTGGGTGTTAGTTTGTACAGTTGGAATCTGGTCTTATATTATAGTTCACCAGAAACCAACCTACCAAGATTATGAGCATTTGAAACTGACTGGTGAACATCCTAATACAGTAAACTGTTCCAAGGTATTAAAGGGTGACACAGAGGAAATTCAAAAAGTAAAGCTTGAGTTGTTAACAGTCTCCTTTAGGAAAACCCCCAAAATGACTTCAAATGACTATATCAACATGACAGTTAATTGTGCCTCCTTTATTAAGAGGCGGAAATATATTATGGAACCTCTTAGCCAAGAAGAAGCAGAATTTCCCATTGCATATTCAATAGTGGCTTATCATAAAATTAATATGCTTGAGAGACTTCTGAGAACCATCTATGCTCCTCAAAACTATTACTGCATTCATGTTGACAAAAAGTCCCCAGAGTCTTTCTTGGCAGCTGTAAAAGGGATTGCATCATGTTTTCACAATGTCTTCATTGCCAGCCAATTGGAAAATGTAGTGTATGCATCATGGAGCCGGGTACAAGCTGACCTCAACTGCATGAAGGATCTCTACAGGAGGAATGTTAGCTGGAAGTACTTGATCAATCTCTGTGGCCTGGATTTCCCAATCAAGACAAATCAAGAAATTGTGGAGAAGTTGAAAGCCCTCAACGGTGAAAATAGTTTAGAAACGGAAAAAATGCCTTCAAACAAAGAGGTGAGGTGGAAGAAACATCATGAGGTAGTTGATGACAAGGTAAAAAATATGGGGATAGACAAACAGCCTCCACCTCTCAACACACCCATTTTCTCTGGAAGTGCCTATTTCGTTGTTACTAGGGAATTTGTGGAATATGTATTAGAGAACAGCAAAATTCTTGCTTTTATAGAATGGGCTAAAGACACGTACAGTCCTGATGAATACTTATGGGCTACAATTCAGCGAATCCCTGACGTTCCAGGTGCAGTGCCCGCCAGTGACAAATACGATGTTTCTGATATGAATGCCGTTGCCCGGTTTGTGAAGTGGCATTACTTTGAGGGGGATGTATCCAAGGGTGCTCCTTACCCACCTTGCAGTGGAGTTCACATCCGTTCTGTATGTGTCTTTGGAGTGGGAGACTTGAGTTGGATGTTACGGAAACGTCATCTTTTTGCCAACAAGTTTGATACTGACATCGATCCTTTTGCAATCCAGTGTCTGGAAGAGCATTTACGAGACAAAGTGCTACAACAACGTAGACACTGACATGCAGTGTTTTTTTTATGGTACACGTCTTTCTCATTTGATTAAATTGGCAGAAAAGAGATGGAAAATCCAATACCGCCTTTTTGTTTTTAAACAAAGCTTGTAGGGTGATTAGCTGATTGTGTCCCCTGAGCTTTCTTAATTCTATTTTTTTTTCTAAAATAGTTCTATTACAAAAATTCTCTTGCAAGAGGCCCCACAGGATTTTAGGCATGAAACAAGATTCTCCAGCTTACAACTGAAAGACACTCTGTTCACCTCTCCTCCGTATCTTTTAAAGAATTCTATTAGAAATCAAATAATCTCAATCCTTAGTTTGTGTAGCCACTAAGACTACTTTCCTTAGTGGAAAATGGATAATTTTGAGGACAGTAAGGAGACAGAACTAAGTAGTCACGGTGGAAAAGATAATAAGATTAAGAGAAATTTATGAGATTATGAAACAGGAATTTGAAGTATATTTATATCTCTTATAGTCAAATTACTGAATTCTGCCTCCCCCCCACCTTTCAAATTGTACCAGCAATATTTACATATACACAGCAATATTTATATATACACAAAACACATGGAAGTTGTTTTTTTCTAAGCTTAATTTTTTGGATAGAGACTATTCTTCAGTTTTGTATAGAAATTTTGTCTACAGAAATGTAGCAGAAGCCTCCCAGTTAAAATATTCTCAGGGAAATAAAATGTATGCCTGTTTGTGTTCATTTTAATATAACTTGATAGCATTTATGTTTGCTGCTTGCCAGATCATTTGTCACTTTTCCATAAAGGGAGAACAAAACAAATAATAGAATTACTGATTCATGATACGTAGTTCCTACCATTAGTTTTGCTACTAGAAATTTTTGAATCTTCCAAATTGGAAAAAATGTGTCCTGTTTAAGTCTTCTTTTTATGCTAACTGCAATAAACTCTTCAAAAGGGAAGGAGTTAACATATTTCAGTTTTTAATAAATCTAAGCGGCAGAACAAACAAGATCTAGAACAGGCATAATAAATGCTTCTTTTTACAGCTAGAATTCTGTTTCTTTTCCTGGTGTCTTTCCCGATGCTGACTTGGAAACAATTTTTGGAGATGGCATGAGGTATAAAATAGGACTTCAGTTTTCTGCTGAACATCCAAGTGTTCCAAAATAGCCCATAATTAAAACTGCATTGGATAGAATTGTATCTACCTGGTGCAATATATTATGTCAAATTATATTTCTATACTACTGGGTTTTTACATGTTTTATTTCTTTAAAAAAGGAGACAAAGTCTCCCTCAAGTTGAGTTGGGTTCTTGTTGACATCAAGGTGAAAGCCCATCAGGTTTTCTTGGCCAGCATTGGTGACTAGTGCTGAGGAATTTATTTATTTATTAGTCATCCTCATGTAGCCTTACAGCCTGGGAGGGAAAGTTGTAGACAAAAGTGAAACATTTTAAAAAGAGTACAAAATCCTACCTGGCCCATTGATTAACCAAGTAGGATGAACAATTATTTAGAAATTTGCTATCAGGATAATGATTAAAATATTCAATTTCAATTATATTACATAGATAGTATGTGGGGGACAAAATTGAAATCAATGGAATTGATAAGTGAAACGTGATTGTATGTAAATCTGACTCCCCCAATTGATTTTTTTTTTGGTCAAAAGGCAGCTGGGAAGATTGCAAACCGTGATCACATGACCTGGAGATGCTGCAACCATCATAAATACATGCTAGTTGCCAAATTTTGATCACATGACCATTGCAATACTGCAGTGGTTAAAAAAGTGTAAGGACTGGATTGTAAATCTCTGTTTTCAGTGTCATTGCAATTGAAAACGTTGCTAAATGAATGATTGTAACTGCAGGAGAACCTACACTCTTTAAGTTACAATAATTTAAGGTAGCAGTTCACAAATGTTTTTGGAACCTAGAGTTTATTTATCACTGTTGCTTACATGTAAAACTAAATTTTGGGTAGGGCATAGGGAAAATAAGGTATTTTTTTTAAATGCACCAACTGAAATCTATTCACTTATTTATAGATTCCAGTTAAAGACTCCTGGACTAATTAATATTGCATTAATATAGATGCAAGCACTCACAAAAGCATAAAATGTGAAGTCAGAGACAACCTTGTCTTCAAAAAGGTATTAATGTACATACTGTAAAACACTGCATTGTACCTTGTGACTATTATTAAGTGTTGTACCTTATGATTCTTGACTAATGTATCTTTTATGTACACTGAGAGCATATGCACCAAGACAAATTGCTTGTGTGTCCAATCGCACTTGGCCAATAAAAGAATTCTGTCTATTGCAATGAACAGAAAACTGATTTTCTGACGGATGCTCTTTTTATAGCATTCTGTTTTAGCTATGGCTTCTGATGCATACTTGCCATAGCATCATAAAAATCTGCCTGGATGAGTTTAGCATTAGAGAAAATTTGAATTTTGATGCAAGTCTTAACAATGTGATCCTTGTGCTAAAGTAAAACCATGTTTGAAATTTTTCAATCAATATCCTACATGTTTTCACAAGGAAAATGCAATGCATGGAAATATCCAGTATAAAAAAACTTCGGATGTGCAAATTTCTACGTGTAAGTTACTTTTAAGAAGACCATTTAGAATAGCAGTCACCAATGCCGTGAGAAAATTTTGTGGGCTGCAGAGAAATTTCACCCCCAGAGCACCCCCCAAAGCAATTAATTCAGGCTGCACAGAAACACAAGGCTGCCCAGCCCACATGGCCCGTGGGAATGTCCACTCCTTACCTGGCAAACTTGCCTGCTAAATTACTATTTTTCCTTTTTCCAACCATCATCTGTTTTGCTATGCCAGAAAATTTAAATTAGCTAGGAAGCAGGAAATGGTTGGATTTCTTGCTTTCTAGCTAGTCTTTAGATCTTCGGCTCTCCTTTTAATCACAGCCGAACCTATTCAGTGCAGACTCACGGAAGCAAATTTTAGAGACTGAGCTAGCCAATGGCAAATAGATTTCGGAATGAATCTGTGATTCTGTGAGCAACTCAATCTGCCTGCCTGCTTGCTTTGCCTGATTGTGGGTAAAAATTGCTTTTTATATAAAAAATTCAATATTTATATATTTATATTTAAATACAAGCCATGCTCAGCCAGTCACATGACCACCACCACATCCACAAATTAGGCCACGCCCCACAGAACCAGTTAGTGGTCCCTGGGATTTAAAATTATGAGTTTGGTGGTCCCCGGTTTTAGAAGACTTCCTGTGCAGAAGTCAGCCAATTAGAGAAAAGAAAGGATGTAAATATACAGAATAAAAGACTGGGGAGGCATTTAGGGAGTGCTCAACTTGATCTCTCAAGTGGAATAGGTTTCTGTACTTCCTAAGGCTCTGAACTGAGCAATTTGCCTGATTTTTGCAAACTAGCAAGCTGAGTCTGGCTTGACAATCAGGTATGTATTTACATTTATCCAGGGTTTCTTGGGAACAGTTCCATTTAATTAATCTGACTCCTCAGACATTTCATACATTCCTTTAATTGCCAAAGAGTTTCCAAGGTTGTGGCTTAGCTGCATTTTCTTAAACGAATTGGATATTTCAGTGAAAGCATCAAGGTAAAGTCAACAAAAAAACTCAACAAGAAAGCACTAGCATCTTGATCTCTTGTTAATAAAAGTTTAGCAATGGGCAAAGTGAACTTTAATTTCCACAACAGGAGTTTATACTGAAAATTAATGGCCAATGAAGTGAAATGAAAGCTGGTAAAATAAGCTCTTGTAAAATTGAGTCAGGCAAAATATGCTTACCTTGAGTTATTCAGATGTTGAACTATATTTCCCAGCATTCCTCAGTGCTGGCCATGCTAGCTAGGTTCTAGAGAGATGTAGTTCAACATCGTTTAGTGGACAACATATTCTCCCAGTATAAGTAATAAACAGAACTATTTTTACTAGTTTAGAATGGAGAAAATTGAAACTATTTGCATCACTTTCTATGAGTTTGGTGGTCATTTTGATCAATGTACACTATTTTTCAGATGCTTTTTTAAAATATGCTAACTACTCACAAAATAGAACCGCCCATAGTATACTTTATATTAAACGGATCTTTTGAAAAAAAAATATTGGAAGCAATAGGGCCTCTGTTTCGTTAGGCTTTTCTTAAGACAACCCTACATCTTTATAGATGGGGAAATATTTTACTTAAATACAAGGCTACTATAGATGTGGAAACTGGCTAGGATATACTCGGGCCATCTTTGTCTCTGGGGAAAAGTAGAACCTCATGTATTTTAACAGGCTTGAAACTATAAGAAATTCTGACTCCCTTGTTTACTGCAGGCAAGCAATGGCACTGGAGAATGAAAATGTTGATGTAAGAACAGGCCCACTCACATTTCAAAGTTCATGTTATGTTAACCATGTGGTGTTTATGCTTTTCTTTTTCAGGAAAAACCCTGAAATTGTAAATCATGGAAAATGTTTAGGGAATCTAGTCAAATGAAAGCAATTCAATGAATAAGAGCTTTCTTCTCCACTCCGGATTGCACTTGGGATTGATATAAGGCCAAAGCAGAAATATTAGCTTCTTTCAGAGAAAAAAAACCCTGCTTTTCTTTTAACTCTAATCATTGGTGTTTCTTAAATCTCATAATTAGCTGGGGACGGGTTATCAGTATTGCTCCAATACTGCGTATCAGTTTGAATCTGAAATTGGTGTATGTGTACTAAAATTTGTGCACTGATATTTTCAGAGTAAAAGAGCAAGTCTTCTAGAAACATTTGTAGGTGATTAAAGTGTGTGTGCATTTCCATTTCCCATGAATATTCAGTTTTAGTATAGTTTTAAAAATCATAAATTCTGTTTTAATTTTTTAATATATTATTTTTCTACGTATTTTATAACTAACTAACTCAGTTTACAGAGGAGATATGCAACATAAAAATTTAATAAATAAATTTAAATACAGGAAACAAACATGGCTTCTCTATAGATCTTGATACATTTAGCACTAAGGATTAATAACAAAACTCACAGCCAAAATGCCTTTGGGATCTTTTATACTATTTCCTTTCTTTCTTTTTTCATGGAGAGACAAAAACCATCCTCAGCTTATTGTGATATTATTAAAAGATACTTTTATGTAATACATTTAAGTGGAGTTAGATAGCTTACTTACATTAATTTAAACCTCTTTTTCTTCTTTTCTGTAAGGCCATACAAGTCCATAGTGATTCTGTGCAATGTTCAGTATTAAAGACAAATTAACAGCAACAAGGAAAAAGGAAAATCATGAACTTGTAGAAATAATTAAGTCAACTCTCCTAAAGATAGCTTTCCCACAAGAATCCTTTTGAACAAACCAGGGGAGGAACAGTATAAATCTGCAAAGTTGCCCTGCCAGAGGGCAGGCACAACACAGGTCACTTTTGATATGATAGGATGCGATGGGAGGACACTACAGGAGACAGACTGTCCCTTAAATAATCAGGCCCTGTGACATGAATACAAGTGATAAATAGAAGCTTCTTTCATTGTAACATGGAGCCTAGTGGCAACCAGTGTAACTCAGAGCAAAGGTGCTACATGGGTATTCTGCATGCCTATTACCACTTTTGCTACCACATTTTGCACCAACTGTGGTTTCCACATGATCTTCAAAGTCAGCCCCTTGTAGGGCACATAATAATGATACCCATGCAAGCATGAGGGACTGCCCAGAAATGCAGACAGTGAATATGTCTTGGAAGAACTATTCAGTGT